CAGAGCTTGGTTAATGATTATTTCCAAATCTCACGTTTTTGTGACTTGTGCTCAAGCAGAGTTCACAGTGATCACTCACCACCCACAGCTGATAATGATTACACAGCCAGTCACAGCGATGGTGGTAGAGAAGAACCATTTTGTTTCGTCAAAGATTCTTATGTCTGGGACACCTATGTGTCTTGGTTTTTTAAGAAAGTACATGTAAAACAAAAGTAGATGCCCTTCAAGAAAGAAGGTAATTAGTACCCCACAGTGATGAGATCCATTTATTTATCTTTAAGGCTATGTATATACTTAACCTCGTTGTCTTTCTTTTCTTTTTACTTTCTCCCCCCCACCCCCTTCTTTCTTTATCTAGTTGCCTCTCTCTGTGTGTGCACACGTGTGGGACTTAAAAGAAAACCTGCTGGAGGAGTTGGTTCCCTCCCTCCTTGCTATGGTGCCAGAGATCCAACCCAGGTTCTCAGATTTGGCTGCAAACATCCTCACCTGCTGAGGCATCCCCAAGGGTCCCATTTTACATTTCAAAACCAAAGAATTTGAATTCTCACCTCATTACTCAAAGAAAGACTCCTTTAAGATGCCAGAAGCTGGGGCTGAGCTCCGGAAAAGAAAATTCAAAGGACTCTTGCAGAATTCAGTTCCCAGCACCCACATCCAAGGGCTCACAGCTGCTTGTAAAGGCAGCTCCAAGGCGGGAATCTGAGGCTTCTGGCCTTCATCATCAACCCCACACAGCCATGCTTACATCCACACACCGACACACGCATACCTATAATTAAAAAGTAACAAAAGCAGCCAGGCATTGTGGCGCCAGCATTAATCCCAGCACTTGTCAGAGGATGGGGTTTGGGGGCGGGGATCTCTGAGTTCGAGGCCAGGCTGGAGTACCGATAGTGAGTTCGAGGACAGCCAGAGCTAAAGTGAATCCCTGTATTGAAAAACCAAGAGAGACAGAAGGACAAATAAGAAAAACATCACTTACTTAGTTGCACTGTTCCCTCTGATGATACCTTCAAAAGCAGCTTTAATTGTGTTTTCTCAATGATTTTGTTTTTCTCTTTTAAATGTATGTGTGTGCATGTGAACATGCAGGAGAATGAAGGTGCCCATGGAGGCCGGATGCATCAGATTTCCTGGAGCTGGAATCACACAGGTGGTTGTGTGCCTATGAATGTGGACACTGGAAACTGAACTCAGGTCCTCTGGAAGAGAAGCAAGTGCTCTTAACCAGTGAGCCATGTCTCCAGCCACTTACAAAGCATCCAAACACCAATTCAGTTGGCTTGCCCAGAGTCTCCAAAGCAAAGACTGAGTAAGAGCATGTTTTCCCCTTGCTTTCCCTTCGATCATCTATGCTTTTGGGTCTGAGCTGACACAGACTAGAGATGCAGTGCATCAGACAGACACAGAGCTAACTCATCATAGAACCAGGCCAGAGCACATTTCAGGCTGTTCTAGAAGTCTGAACAGGGTGGGTGGGACAAAAATGGGGAGGCCTTATTTGCTAGCTAACCTCATTTTTGCCAGTTATTCCGGAGGCTAGTTCACTGGACTCTGAAGCAAGGGTCACCTCCTTATTTTTTAATCCCAGGTGACCTAGTCAGAACCAGTGAGACATCTACTAGCTCAAAGTCTGTCCTAAACAATGTTTCCAGTAAGGAAGGCTTGAGGCTTTATCTCTTCTCCTGAAACAAAAAAATTCCCCAAAGAGAAAGATTAACAGAAGAAGAGATAACATGTTCATGCTTGGAATGGCAACAGCCCTCCAGATAAGTCTGTCCAGGATAGCTCTCAATTCTCAGCTCTGGAAGTGCTGGTGCCTGATATAAGACTGAGCAGAGAAAACAAAAGGCAGACCGAGGTCCCAGAGGAGTGCCCTGTGCCTGACTAACCCTCTAAGTACCAAGGTGATGAACACAACCTTTCTAATCAAACTGTCACAGTAAGCCTAGCCTCTCGAATCTTAATCTAGTGGCAACACCACCCCAGGCAGCATCCATAAAGCTGTTTCAATCTTGAAAAGTCATCTGGGTTTGTAGTTTTTTTCTAATATGCCTTATTCATGTTACAAGAAGAAAACGCATAGCTCAGCATCATGTTCAAAAAAATTTTTATCTCATATTTCTGGTCTTTGGCTTTTTAATTTTTAATCCTGTATTTCCTTGTAAACAGCAAGCTTTTAAGCCTTATGTATAGAACTGTTAATGTTTTCCTTTTAAATTCATATTTATGTTTATATAAGCATTCTAACTTTTAAGTTTCAACAAACATTAACACACACACACACACACACACACACACAGGACTTTCGTCTATGTGAGTTCTGTCTGAACATATATTTGTGTACCACGTGCATACCTTGTGCCTGTAGAGGCCAAAAGAGGACTTTGGATCCCCTGGGACTGAAGTTACAGTTTGTTCTGAGCCACCATGTGAGTGCAGGGAATTGAACCTCGTCCTCTCAAAAAGCAGCTATTCACCAATGTTTTATTCTATTTATCTTTCTTTATAAAACATTTACATTTTATGTATATGAGTGCTCTGTCTTCATACACACCTGAAGAAGGAAGCAGATCTCGTTAGAGATGGTTGTGAGCCACCACACCATTGCTGGGAATTGAACTCAGGATCTCTGGAAGAGCAGTCAAATAGTCTTAACCACTGTGCCATCTCTCTAACACCCTTATTCTGTTTACCTAATGGTCATCATCTATATTGGAAAACACACTGTGCATACCAGTGGTCCTCATGCTTCGGTGTATACATTATTCACCTGGGGCTATGTTGTACTTACAGCCCATCTTCAGAATATGAATCAAATGGATTATATGTGGGCCATAGAAGTCAGAATTCTCAAGATACTTCCCAAATGACTGTAATGTAGAAAAGAATACAGCACTTGTAGTACAATCTTCTCTCTCTCTCTCTCTCTCTCTCTCTCTCTCTCTCTCTCTCTGTCTCTCTCTCTCTCTCTCTCTCTCTTTCTCTGTGTGTGTGTGTGTGTGTATGTGTGTGTGTTGAGTGTGCATGTCTCCCCTCTTTCTTTTCTCTGCAATTATTTGTTATAACCCTGGAGAAATAAAAGTGCTTGTTGCAAAACCTGAGTTCCGTCCCAGGATGCACAAGGTAAAAGAGTACTAACTCCTGTAAGTTGTCGTTTGACCTCCACACACTCTCTGCAGCACATACTGCACACACAATAAATGTAATTTAAAATTTCAAAAGAAAAATATTGATATTGGACATGGGGTACAGAGGGCTAAGGAGAACAATAGATTAAGGAACTGAACATGTCAGGAATATTTTTAATAGAATCCAAATATATTTACTGACATAGTCTAAAGGAGCAGATAATTCTGCTCTTCTCTCTAGTTCCCCTTTTAACTTATATAGATTTTCTACTTTTTATTCTAAAATAGAATTATTTAATTTTACATCAAAAATAAAAGTACTTGTTAATAGTAGTAGTATCTGTAAAAACATGATACATCAGTCCAAAAACCCATCACTATGGGGGGTATCAGAATGGAGATACCTTTTATTCTACAGAATCAATGTAATACAATACATTTATACAATAGCCATTCTTCTGCAAGTACCTTCATCATATTCATAGTACCTTTGAAAGTTTTTGAATCTATCAATATTCAGTAAGGGGTAGGTAGAAAGGGTTGGTTATGGGTTCTTAGGATTCATGTGCATACACATCTTCATTTTATATTATTTTTATCTTTTAAGAAATGAAATGTAAAACGAACTTGCACAATTTACACATGTTCCCTCAACCAATGGGGCCTGCCAGTAGCCTTTAGATAGATTTTTCTTACAAGGCAAGGATATAAGCTTACTTTTTGTTAGAAGTAGCTGTTCTAGGACCTGAGTATGAGGCTCAGTTGGCAGAGTGCTTACCTACTGTGTAGAAAGCCTTGAATTTGATCCCCGAATCATAGAAAGTTAAAGCAGTGGCACACACCTGCAACCCTTACACTTGGGAAGAAGAATCCAGAAGATCAGAAGCTTAAGGTAATTTTACCCTACTTAAGCAAATTGGTGTAGAGCCTGGGATACATGAGATACTGTCTCAAAAAGCAAAATAAAAACAAGACACCACTCAAAACACCCAGTAATTCTCCCATAGTTTTCATTTGAATAGATACCTTGGTCTACTTTCAAATAGGCTTATTATTATCCAGTTGGAACTCCAGAAAATGCCCCATGTTGAAAAATAATAAGGATTGCTTTTGCTAAGGATTCTGCAGGAATCCTCACTAACCTAGAGCAGTTTTAAAAACTTTTTTTGAAAAGTCTGCATGAATACATGTGTACTATGTCGGGGGGCTGGAGAGACAGCTCAGAGGTTAAGAGCACTGGTTGCTCTTGTCCTGAGTTCAATTCCCAGCATCTATATGGTAGCTCACAACCATCTGTAATAGGATCTGATGCCCCCTTCTTGTGTGTCTGAAGACAGTGACAGTGTACTCACATGTGTACCATGTCTGTGTAGAGACCAGGAAAGGGCCTCAGATCCCCCTGGAACTGGAGTTACAGGGAGTTAATATCTCAGTATTTCAGAAGCTGAAGGATTGCCATGAATTCCAGCCTAGTTAGCCTGGGCTACAGAATAAGGCAATGCTTCAAACAAAGCAAAATGCTGGGTATAGTGGCACCACCTGTAATTGAACACTGAGGGTGGGGGTGGGGATTCAGGGAAACTCAGCAGGGTCTTTATACTTAAGAGCCCAGTGGCAGGATCCAGCACAAGTGGCCCTAGTTGGTAGGCAGGACAGGTCCCAGGAAAGAAAAGGGCGGGACTCAACAGCATAAGAATGGTGTGGAAGCCCAACCCCCACCCCTGCCTACCAGTCTTGCATCTGAGCACAGGCTGAGTGAGGCCATGTCCTACCTCAGATATGTTCTCAAATATACTATGTTCCACACAGACCCTTGTGAGGCAAGTATTTCCCCCACGAAAAGACCAAGTCTTAACCAAGTGCGTCTATAATGATTGCCAGTTTTATTCCTCTGGCTAAGCAATCCAGAGGTAATTCCAGGTTTACATTTCTTTTTTAATAGTTCATCAAGAGTTTAGTACCTTTATTGCCTCTACAAGCTGGTTACAAATTAATTTTAATTAACTCCCACTTATTAAAAAATCTGCAGTTCTTTGTGAGACACGTATTCATTAAAAAAATCAACATAAGCAAAAGGCAAAATTAAAACACACCAAAAATAAGCATGGTTAAGGTTTTTGATACGTATAATTATACATGTACACACATAATTAGGAGTTTTCCTATATATGTGAGCTGATCCTAAATACGCTGCTTTTCAATCTGCTGTTTAACTGTATTTCCATGCATACGTGTGAAACTTTCCAACTGAAAGATAAACGTGGAAAATGGGTCAAAATCCAAAATCCAATGAGATGCTGGTAACAACGAAACTACATAAAAGAAAATACCACCAGGTAATTATTATTAAAAGTAAAATGAAGTTCAAAGAAACAACAGAAAATGCTAAGAGAAAGAAAGCAGCCACATTTCAATATCAGAGAAAAACGATTTCAAGGCCTGAAGCACACAGGGTAAGGTCGGCTTCGGGAATGTCTTTGCTTCCAATGCATCAACACAAACTTGTTTCTTACTCTTCTTATCTCTTCCCTAAGCCTTTCCAACTCATCTACTCCTCTTATCACTTCTTCAGGGTTCAGATGCCTTGTGGGAGTGTCCTCTTTAGGCTCTGGGCTGGGTTCAGCAGGCTCTCCTCCTCTAAGGCTTCCGTCAGTTTCCTCCCTCACATTTTCTCCAGAAGCCTGAAGATTTTCTTCTGCCTGCTGTGGTGGATCTTCTGAAGGATGGCCTTCATCTGCTTTTGGTGTGTTCTGGGGTGTTCCTTCGTTCTCGTCACAAGACTTTTGCATGTTGATTATTTTTTCTTAATGAATTAATCCTAGGGGAAAAAAAAACAAGGAAAAAAAACCCGACTAGGAGTCAGGCAGATGGACAAGCCTTTGTGTTCCCATAGCGACTGACTTTTCTGATTCAGGTCTCTAAATTGCAAAAAAGTTTTCTAACTAGACAAGTCAGTCTCTGAGCTCCTGACTCCACCCCTTCCTCCACCGCCCCCCCCACCGCCCCCCTTGCTCTCCAACTCCATCTTCTCCTGTCCCGGCACCAGCCCACCATTTTCCCAGCAGGCCCTGCAACAAACCTCTCCTAGCACTGAAATGGGAGCGGCGTGGAAACGATTAACCCTTCCCTCACCACATGGCTCTAATACTCCCGCCCTTTCGGGCTTTTCCAAGTCATCCCATCCTCAGCCTCTCACCAGCAACAGTCTGGTCCGCGGTCTCCTCTCTCTTTTAAATATCTTTAGCCTCTCCCTTTCCTTCCTTCACCCGATTTCCGCAGCACGATCTGCAGGGGCCTTCTGTGCTTAAGCCGGATGGGAGGTAGTTGTGGCGCCCCTGGAATGTGCTTTTGGTGTCTTCCACACTCCTACCCCCACCCAAAGGGACCTGAAGCAATTGCACCCTTGCACTGACCTGTAGGTATCTGGAGATTTTCCTCTCTTCTTGCACCTCGATTTATGTCGCGCTCAAAAGATCAAGAGTCCTGAAGAAAGACGGGAGAGCTTGGTGAGAACACCAGTGCCTAAATCAAAAGGTCTTGCTAACGGATAGCACAAAGTTTTTCCACGTCCCCCTCTTCTCCCTCCTTTTGTGGCAACCCCGCCTTCATCTGCACCCTGTTTCCCAACAAGAGGGTAAAGAATCAGACAAGTTTTCTCCACAGTGTTATTGTTTCTTCTCTCCTTCTCTCGCCTTTCGCCTTTCCCCCTCTCCTTTCTTTCTCTGCCGGACTCGGTTAGCTCCCTCCCTCCCAGTCTGCCCCATCCGTCAGCAAGCAACCCCAAGCACAAAATAGTTTAGCAGAACCTTAGGATAAGGGAAATAGTGCGGGATACGCGTGCTTTCTATTCTCTGCTCCCTCCACCCTACGGTCTCTTGAGGCAGCGCCCACTATTAAAGTACCTGGAAGTAGCAGGTCCACTCTTCTCTAGCAGGACTGAGCTGCTACTGAGGAACTGGGCCTAGACTATAAGGACTTCTGCACACGTCGACTGCTGGTCACGTGAGGGCCGCGTCATCAATGAGCTCCTGCCTTTGGTTATCCCTCCCATTAACATGCAGCCCGCCCCTACATTCCCTTCACTCGATACTGTCAATCTTTTTTCCTATTTGCCAATAGGAGACAATAAAACTGGTCTCGTCACCAAGTAGTATCTATTCACCTTACTCAGATTACCAGGAAAAGATCAGTCTTTTAGGGTACGTCGACCAATTCTCCTAATTTGGGAAATCAGCGCTTTCTCTCCCTTGCTCCGTATACTTCCCTTCCCCTCCCCCCAAAACCTACAGTCCACCATTTCTCTGGGAAGCGTCTTTAAAATGGGGGAAGGTTGTAGATACGCGCTTGTGGGGGTAGCGGAAGAATAAAAAAAATCTAAGGAAAGAATGTTTAACTTCACTGGCCCTCTTGAGTCGTTTTCTGTTGTGTTCTGTTTTAAGAATCAGGTTTTAAAAATGATATTTACAAAGGAATACTTCATACTCATTCTTTCACACTAGAGGAGAAAATAACTTCATTAAATCAATTTTAAGGTTTCAAAAAGTATTCTAAGGACTTCAAGTGAAAGGAGAGTATTTACAACATACTGATGTGTTGGGGTTTTTAAAAATCTTACTAAAATGGCATCGTTTGCAAACTGATTCTGGAAACAGAGCGGATTTGTCTTGTTAGTTTTGTATCCACAATTCCACTACTCTCTTTGGCTGAGCTTAGGCTATTATTAGATGTCTGAACTTTTAATTGATGACTGCTGGCAGCTTCCACTTGCAAAGAAAGGCTTCAGACAGACCTCTTTTCCTCATCCTTTGTAGGAGCCAGTGTCTTTGTTAAACAGAAAAGCCTGCTTTTCACTAAGTGAACTTTCGTGGAACTCAAAGAAATATGTTTGTTGGTAAACTTTTGTTATTAAGAACAAAATGTTTGTAAGGAAATTGTGCTCATAATGAAGCAGAAAGGAGAGAGCTCTTTGTATGTCACTGCTGATTGCTGGGCTTATTAAGCATGTGGGGTTTTCATTCATTCATGGAACTCTAGATAGATAGCCTGATAGTCTTCAAAGTGCTCCATGAAAACAAGAGCCATCTCAGAGAACTCCATACACTGCCGTAGAGCTGTTTGCACCACATGTTCATTGCTGCTTTATTCATTGCAAGGAATACTATTCAGCTAAAAAAAAAAAGAAGAAGAAGAAGAAGAATGTAAAAATGTAGTTACAAAATTTTCAGGTAAATGAATGCACTTAGAATGTTTGATATTCACTGAGCTCACACAATATCAGAAAGAAAAAATATCACATATTCTTCCCCATAAACAGAACCTAGTCTCATACACACACACACACACACACACACACACACACACACACAAGCCTACATGTGAGTACATTCAGAAATGAAAACAAGAAAGGTCTAATATTAAGAGGTGAGGAAGGATTGAACACAGGGAATGGACACGAGATATGAAAGAGGGCAGAAATCTAATTATTTTCCTAGTTCTAGCTTTGTCGTGAATTTTTTTTCCTTTTTCTTTTGGTGATAGATAAATGCATAAAATATATTCAGTAGTAAAAACACAAATGCCAACAGGAAGCTCCACAGCTTCGGAACAGATATTTTAACTTTACGGAAGTCCATTGAGAGGCATAGACTTCAGGTCAGGTTAATATCATTGCCTGGTATTTTTTTGTTTGCAAGTTTTTTACAAGAATGTTTATAAAATAAACTGTCAGCATGCATAATTGTTATTAAAAAGCAGAGAGGATATTACTAGGGTATAAAAAAAGAAGAACGCTATTTTAAAGAAGAAACTGAGCTCCTGAAACCCAGAGTTCACCAGTATCTGCAGGTGTGGTGATACTTGGAGTGGTTATGTACTTGGAGAGTCAAGAGAAAGACAATGGGGTATGGTTGAGACTGTCTCAGGGCAAGTGTGATCACAGCAGGGTATATTTGTACAAAATAGTCCGCCACTGAGAAAGAAAGGCTCTCAAAAATAAATGTTTTTGTTGGCTTAATGTTTAATAATTTATAATTAAGCACAAATGGGAGAGATGTTTTCTATTATTTGAAAAGAGTGTGTAACATAAATTATAAATAATTATATTTTCTTATCACTTACAACAAAATTTTCCACTCTTTGTGATTCTACCATCACAAATATGAATCCATCTATTCTTCACCCTCCTCCTCTTCTTCCTCCTCTTCCTCCTCTTCCTCTCTCTCTGAGACAGGGTTTCTCTGCATAGCCCTGAGTGTTCTTGAATTCACTCTGTAGACCAGGCTGGCCTGGAACTCACAGAGTTCCAGGTGCTGGGATCAAAGACATGTGCCGTCACTGCCTAGCTTCCTCCAGATTCTGTTTTTAACCATATCATTCTGTTTTTAAGCATATTATCATTTAGCAATCCTTGATTGCCACTTTAATAAAACTTTGTCTTGTCTTTCTCATTCAACATAATGCTGCCAATGTATAAAATAAGACAGAAAATTAACAATTCCAAAGCAAATTGGTTTTTTTTTTTCTGAAGCAACAAGGAGCTCAAGGATTTAACATACATTTTAAGATTCCAACCAGCAGACACACAAAGTCACTAAACTAGTTATACACGGTGAGAAGACGTTTAACATTCTATCTCTCCACAAGGTCACTGCATTGTAATCAATGAGATTTAGATAATTTTAAAGCTCAAATGTTACCCCTTTGAGGAAGATTTTTTAGGTATAGGTACTCCATTCTTCTCTTTCTAGTTACTGTTCAGTCATGTGGCTATCCCACTGTGAATCCATTCACCTACTGAAGAGCATTGGAGTTTTTCTAACGCTGAGCATCTGTGAAGAACACTGTTATAGGCATTCATGTATAGAACTTTTTCCCTTCTAGGAACTACCTAGCACTTCCATCTATCCCTCCAACCTACCTCACACATTACTATCAAATGCCATTCTTCCCTGCTTCCAACTGTCAGAGGACTTCTCAGAAGTCCCCAAAGTCCCCACAAGTAAATCCTCCACTCTTCAGTGTAAGCATGCATCTTCTGATGAGCCCCAGGACCCTCATTACCAACCTAGTCATGCACTTCTCTGCCTCACTGTGTCTCAAATATCTATTTCATCTCTCTCATTGTTGTTACTGCCATTTTCTTCCTTTCCTATACACTGCCCTCTTTTAGAAGGTTTAAGAAACAGGGTTTCTCTGTGTATCCCGGCTGTCCTGGAACTCACTCTGTAGAACACAGTGGCCTCGAACTCAGAAATCCAACTGCCTCTACCTCCGAGTGCTGGGATTAAAGGAATACATCACTGCTACCACCACCACCACCACCACCACCACCACCACCACCACCACCACCAC